TAGAAAATTCTCAATAAATTCCTAGTAATTCTCTCAGGTAAAAATTACTTAGTAAATTCCTCGGGGGAGAAATTACAAATTAAATTCCAAAGAAATTCTCGAGTAAATTATCAGTAATTCTCAATTAATACTCAGTAAATTCCCGTAAATCCTCATTAAATCATTAGAAAATTCGAGTAAATTTTTCATAAGTGTGTCGATGGTTAATTACTCAATAAAATCTCAGTAAATACTCAGACATTACCAGTAAATTCGGAAGAGAGTGGTGGTGTGGCTGGTGGTATAGGCTGGGTGGCGGGTGGTCTTGGTGGTGGTTGGTGGTGGCAGGTGGGTGGTGTAGTGGGTGAGTAGTAGTGTGTGGGTGAGGTGGTTGGTGGACTTAAAATGGGGCGGGTTGTGGCTAGTAGTTGGGTGGTAAAAAAAAAAAAAAACTTGAAAAACTGCAAAATGAAAGCACATTTTTATGTATTTTGATTTTTTTGGCCAAATTTAAATGAAACCACTGATTATAAATCAAAAATTTTACACAAACAAGTTTGTTATTTGAATTTTTTTAAATTTTGTTGAAATATAAACAAGAAACGTAAAGTTTTGTTAAAAAAAAATACGACTAGTGTTTACAAAACGACATCTAAACAATTTATTTTTTAAAATTATATTTATATTTATCAATCAATATTATTTGAAAATAAATAATAACCAATGCTATATTATTTAATATATTAATTTTTTTATAAATAATTACTCAAAAATATTGTTACAAATTAAATTATTCCTCAAATTATCATGATTAAACAGTGATTATGATTTCAATTGGAGAAACCCCAACTATCTCAACAAGCCCTCCTTGGTTATGTTATTTGCTCCATTGGGTGGAGCTCTGGAGTCTTAAAAAAGAAGATGCACTCGAATTGTAGATGAACTATCCCTCCATCTAAAAAAAATAAAATTGTAATGATGAATGTAAATAACAAAAGTTTAATATAGATTACATATATATTAAGTTTTACAAATTTGATAAAATCATTCCTATTGTGTTGTTCCAAATAATTTCATTCCAAAAGATTTTTTTTTTAATTAAAAGTTGTTAATTAAAAAATAAATGTTAAAACACCAATTTCTCAATTTTTAGATAATATTTTTTTTTAAGGGATATTTAGTCTAACATTTCTCTTCAACTTTTTGTAATGGAAGAAGTCCACAATATTTTATTTTATTTTTATAACTTAAGGTTCATCACCCATATATCACACCTACTCTCTCATTTTTTCTCCTCTCTCTCTTCATCTCCTCCTTCGTAGCCTGTTCCTCCGCCTCCGTCTCCACCTTCGCCTCTTACTCCCATGTCTCATCTGCCACCGTAACTGCTGCAACCACCATTGTTGCGCCACTATCTCCGTTTATTTTGTTCTTACCTCATGATGTTACAGAGGTGAAAGTGAAATGTGGGCCATGGATGTATGGACAAACATTACAATCTCTACAGAGCTTTGCATAGGCTTTTGGTTACCCAAACCTTTGTCAATGGCCATCTCTTCTTTTGTGAACAAAAAATCAACTGCCATTGTTGCTTCTTCTTCTTTGTTTGGAGAGAGACAATATATAGGATACAAAAAACAGAGAGCACCACAACTAGCTCGTAGAGGTAATTTGATGGGGAAGACACCAATATATATACATTCTTATTTGTATGTGTTGTGCAGAAATATGTTCAGTTTTCTCCGATTTGGTCAAATCACGAAGAAAATTGTGAGCACACAAAGAAAATTGGTCAAAACACAAAGAAATTTGTAAGCAAATTAGAGAAATTTTAACCCAAAGAAAATTTCAAAACACAAAGAAAATTTCAAAACGCAGAGAAAATCTGTGAAATTTAGCAAACCAAAGAAATTTCAAACAGAGAAATTTCAAAACATAGAGAAATTTGTCTGAAATTTGTCTATATTTTGAAATTTTTCTAGGTCAAAATTTCTCTGAATCGAAATTTTTTTAGATCGAAATTTCTCTAAAAGAATGTTGAGGGATCCCAACCACTGTGAAAATATTGCATGTCCTTTTATCCTATAAAATCTTAATATCAGGAATCTTAAATTTTATTTTATTTCTTTAATAATTAAGGTGAGTTAAACATTAGCTTAAAAAGTCATATATATTTTTTAAAATTTTTTTCGTCTTTAGTAATGAGGTGAGTTTCATTTTTTTTGAACGATTTTTGTGTTTTGTTAAAAATTAACTGGCTACTCCATTAGGACCCTAGCTTAATTGTGAAAAAAAAAAAAAAAAAAAAAAAAAAAAACCAACAACAACAACAACAAAAAAGTCAATTAAAAAAGTTAATTTCAGACACACCACGTTGCTAAAATGTCATAAACTAAAGAGTTTAAACAAAAAAAAAATTATCTATACTAATAATCTTACGAAAAATATAAGAGGTTAAATGTGATTAGTTGTCAAAAAAAAATAATAACATTTAAATATCCAATGATGCTTAGACATGTATATCTTAAGTAAGATTGGTAATAAGATTTTAAGTAAATGTAACATTGCTCAAATTCCAAGATATTTATATCACACAAACTACACGCAAAATATCGAATATTCTAACATAATTTTTTAAGAGCACTGGGCCCATAAATCCAAATTTGGATTTCTTAAGCTTAAAAGTCCATACTCTAAATTATTAAATCCATAAGGCCATGTTTTTGTAAAATGACCAAACTACCCACAATTTTGAATTCACACGTCTTCTCTTTCTTTCTCTTTATGATTCTCTCTAGGAGTGTAAAAATGGCCAGCGACTCAGGGTGGGCCCAATTCGATTAGGCTCAAGCCTAGCTCGAGACCCTAGGCTTGGGCCATCATTTTGAAGCCCTGCCCGGCTCGGCCCATCAGTCCACTCAAAGCCCGATGCTTAAACCGGCCTGCCCGAGGCCCAGTGTCATTTTTGGTAGAAAAAAATAAAATTTTGGTGAAAAAAATAATGTTCACGGGCCCAGGTCCAAGCCCAAACCTAGGCCCAGACCTAGCCCACTGTCCCGGCCCACCCGATGCCCAAATACCCCCTGGGCTTGGGCTTAATTTTCTGGCCCCTGACCCGGCCCAACCCTGCCCGAATTTTGCTGGGAGCCCGCGAGGCCCGAGCCAAATTTATGCTCCCAATTCTCTCTCTCTCTCTCTCCTTAAATCCCTTCAGATCATATCTCTGAGATCTCTATATACTTGAGCACGACGGCGAGATATACTGGAGCATTGGCATAATTCTCTAAGATATCTCTCGATATTTAGTCTAACATTTCTCTTCAACTTTTTGTAATGGAAGAAGTCCACAATATTTTATTTTATTTTTATAACTTAAGGTTCATTACCCATATATCACACCTACTCTCTCATTTTTTCTCCTCTCTCTCTTCATCTCCTCCTTCGTAGCCTGTTCCTCCGCCTCCGTCTCCACCTTCGCCTCTTACTCCCATGTCTCATCTGCCACCGTAACTGCTGCAACCACCATTGTTGCGCCACTATCTCCGTTTATTTTGTTCTTACCTCATGATGTTACAGAGGTGAAAGTGAAATGTGGGCCATGGATGTATGGACAAACATTACAATCTCTACAGAGCTTTGCATAGGCTTTTGGTTACCCAAACCTTTGTCAATGGCCATCTCTTCTTTTGTGAACAAAAAATCAACTGCCATTGTTGCTTCTTCTTCTTTGTTTGGAGAGAGACAATATATAGGCTTGCCACATCACTAGAGCTCTCTTTAGAGCTCCAAAATTAGAGTTCTCAATCTTCATATATATATATATATATGGGTAGTTTAGTCATTTTGAGGGAGCTTGTTCTTATGGACAAAGTCTTTTACACTTTGTTTGGATGGAGAAGTTTGGTTAGAAAAGAAAAGAAACGGCGAGAATAAGAAACCCTTTCACTCATTTGGATGATTAAGTAGGTGAGAAATGAAGAGAAAATTGTGATAAAATGATTCTCACCAAACCTAAGTTTTGTTTTTCACCAAAAGTGGTGAGATTTGGTAAGAAAAAAATTTGGTTTAATGAAAGTTTTCTAAAATACCAAAATTACGCTTATAAAAAAACATAACTTATTAATATATGGAAGGTTATTTTGGTAAACTAAAACACAACACTTTTCTTTCTTTTCTCTTATTTACTCTATCCAAACAATATAGGTAAGAAACCACATTCTTTTCTCTTTTATTCATCCAAATATAATAGTGAGAAACCATAATCATTCCCCCCTCCTCCCCCCTCACCTAGGTAAGAAACCACAATCATTTTTTTTCTCACCTAGGTGAGAAACCACAATTATTTCTTTTTTCACCTCATCTCATGATCCAAACGGAGTATAGTGTGAACCTTTGGACAAAGAAAAATCAAAATTGGATTTACGGATCGAGTGCCCTAATTTTATGGTTGACATAAATCATAGTCATTGAGATTGACATAAATCATAATTATTAAGATAAATTTTGAACATTTTCGATTTTTAACATTATTAATTTGTGGGAAAATTATATAAAAATTCAAAAATTTGAGTCTTGTAACAAAATAAATCCTGAATTTTTAATTTTATCAATTCAAACCTTAATATTTTTTATTTGTTTTCAATCTAAACTATTTATCTATTTTTGTTAGGTAAAACTCTAAAAAATATATATTTTTTCGTCCTTAAACTCAATGAAAATGGATATTTTAGACATCTTTTGTGCAATGACGTTAAGTTTAATGACTACAATACTATTTTTCAATTAAATTTACTTAACAAAAATAGACAAATGGTTTAGATTGAAAACAAATCAAAAGATTAAGATTTATTTTATTACTTAATGAAAAGTTTATTTTATTATGAGGCTCAAGCCCTGATATATATATATATATATATTTGTAATTTCTCCAAAATAAAAAATAAAAAGATACCAACAAAGGGAACCACCAAATGGGGCCAAGTCCTTAAACATTAAAAACAATAAAAAGTTGAAATGACAATGAGCTCACTGCTGCACTGCACTGTACCAAAGCTTTGCCCATCTTCTCATATTTTAGCTCCCATTTCAAGTTTCATGATCCATCTCTCTCTCTCTCACACTCTCTGAGGTATTAGAGAGAGAGAGAGAGAGAGCTGAGAGGTGGATCATTGACCCGCCATGTCCGAGGTAGTCAAAAAAGCTTGGAACATTTACATGCTACAATTGCAACTCCACCCTCTGAGAACCAAGGTCACTTTCTCAAATATTCATGTCATTCACATACATATTGACTTTATTTCTATTCAATGCTTTATTCAATTTTCATGGGGTTTTTTTTTTTTTTTTTGCTTCTTTTTTTTTAGGTAATTACATCAGGAGTTTTGGCTGGATTTCAGGACCTATATTCTCAGAAGTCTTCCGGAATCAAAAAGCTTCAATTAAGAAGATTACTTCTTTTAATGGTATTTTTTTGAATCAGACTAGCAATTTTTCTGGGTTTTGTTCTATATGTTCATTGTTGAAGTTTTTGATATGTGGGGACTGTTTTGAAGCTCTATGGGTTCGCATATGGTGGGCCATTTGATTACTGCTGTCAGAAATTGACTGATTTCATCTTCAAGGGAAAGAACGATATCAAAACTTATGCAAAGAAAGTAAAGTTTTTTCTTTGAATTTTAATGCTCCTTTTTTTTTCTTTTTTTTTTTAATCAGAAAAAAAAAGAAGAAAAAAAAGAAGCTTTATTGATGAAAAGTATGATAATGCTCTGTTAGCTATATATTCATGTGATTGTTTTTGTCTGTATGTCTATCAAGTGTTTGTTGTATTTTGCACATGGGTTTTGTTAGAATTTAGGGGAAAACTGTCCTGTTGTCCTGAGCGATTTATTTATTTATTTATTTATTTATTTATTTGCCCACTGTTTTGATAATGAATTTTTTCTGAGACTTTTAGAGGTGTTTTGTATTTGTGGAATGATTATTTGGTAATGGTAATCATATTGATAAATTTATTAAAGTGATAGATGATTGAGATGTTTTGGCTTTTGTTTATTTTTAGTTTATTTGTGTTAGTTTATATCGAAATATGATGTGAAAAGTGTAAGTAGTTAAATTGTATTCTTTTTATAAAAAAAATAATAATAATAATTTATCACCGAAAGGTGGAGTAGGACTTTCTGATAAATAAGTCCGGTTCATAAGACCTGCTTCGTAACTAGAATTTATTTGATTGAGGATTGAACATTGTTTGCTTTTCTTTTTCTCTTATTTAGGTATTGTTGCAACAATTAACTTATCATCCTTGGAACAACTTGATTTACATGGTGTACTATGGTTTGGTAGTTGAAGGTATGTACATTGTTTTAAGTGATTGTTTCCAGTTTAAAATTCACAAGTTGCTGGATCTTGATTTTCAATTATTGAATGTAGTTATACTAGTGTTGTCAATATGAAACATTGGCTTGTTTACTTATTGAACTTTTTTTTTGGTAGAGACATAGGGTTCGCAGTTTTCAGCTTGTTAGAGCCTTTCTCGGCAGATTAGTTTTCATGGCTTTATTGCTTTTTTAACGCTTTTCAGTTTTTTCCTTCTTCCTTTTCTTGTTTTACTTTTTTTCAAAGCTTTAGTTGTTGTCACAAGTGATCCATAAACCCAAGCATCTCTTGAAGAAAATACAATTACAGACTAGTATTGAGCTTTAACCATGAATGCTTTTAATTTGGGTATGAATCGTATGGCTCTACATGGAGAAGAGTGGAGATAACAAAATCATATGTTTGATTTTAAGTACTTGTGTTGGGCTTGACTGATGTGGTTCAATGCGCATATATTTTGGGGAATGTCTGTGCTAAGGCTAACTTTCCTTAATAAAGTAGCAGAGTCTAGCTTATTCAGTTGTTTCTCCAAATTTAAGGCCCATTTTGTACTTGTAAGTCTTAACATGGTTATTTGTTCATGTTTTCCTCTTGACACCCCTTCTCAACATGCAAAGAAGATATAAAAGGAAATGAGGAATTAATGAAGCATAGTCTCTTCTTCCAAACTTTCAGTAATCTGGAGAGAGATTAATTTCTGCTTTTATTTTTGTCACACATGTCAATATTTTCCAAAAATGTTGGTAAACATATGGGTGATCTCTGAATTTATGTGCAGAAGAAGCAAATAATTATTGCATCCTGTTTCAATCATTTGGAAACTAGTTCTTGAAATTGATTTTTAAATGTTTAGTGTGTGGTTGCCACTTGGTAGTTGTTGATGGTAAAGGGTGAGTGGGCTACCTGTGGAGCCCTTTGTGAAATGATGGTATACACTTAAGATGGAGTGAGACTACCAGAGGCGGAAGGGGTGAGAGCAACCTGAGAGAGAGAGAGAGAGAGAGAGAGAGCATTGTCCATTCCTGCATGAAGGTGGTGACCTCCTCTTTATAGGAGGGTAAGGCCTTGTAGGCCAACTTACTTGAGTGTATATTGTCGCAAGTTCGAGTGGAGACAAGGAAACAAGTGGCTCGCCCTCCTTGGCCTGATAACATGAAGGTAAAGGCCACTAGTAGTAGTGGCACCACAATACCGAAAGGCCTTAGCAATTGCAACGGTGGTGAAGTGTGCTTCTCAGGTATTGGGGGTACAGAGCACGCCGCGTTTCTTTGTCTTCACTTGAAGAATGTCTTCTACTGGAGGTTTCTCTCTAAGACTGGTCAAAGTGCAGGTTCCTCGGGGGATGGAACGAGTGCCCTAATGAAGCCTCAACTCTAGCTACTGACCCACATATCCCAAGAAGTTCCACACGGGGTTCTTAAGTCCTCTTCCTAACCTAGGCTAGCGTGAGAGCATTGGGGTGCCATTGGAAACCTTGAAGATAAAAGAATGTGACAAAGGAGGGACACACTTGGGTGTAGGATCACTCGGTTGAGCTTAGGATGCTGAGTGTGTAATCACGAATAGGATGGATAATGTGCTCAAGCAAAGATTCACTTGGTTGAGCCGAGGGGGTGTGTTGAGCACCAGGCAAGCATGCTTGGAGGTTCCTCGGAGATAATATTAAAGTAATTGATTTGAGGCATAGAAGGTAGAGATAATGACATGGCGATGACACAGGAGATTACCCACATAAGGTTGACTACACATAAAAGCAAAAACTTCACCCTAGGCAATTGAGCGTTGACATGTGTTGCAATTTGACTGAATCACAAATGCTGCAGTTTAAATCATCTTTATCCAATCAAGTCTGAAAAGCCAAACTAAAATGTATTAAGAGCTTTGTATTCATCTGAAGCCTTTTAGTAGCAGAGGTTAACCCTATTTAATTGCAATTCAAACTTGGATGCTGCTTCACCATTAATGGATAATCTACTGTAAAATTAGTGAAAACTCAAAAGTACAAGACATAAAGACTAGGACAAAACATTGCTTCTATAGTAGTAACATGGTTGGGCCTTTAAACAGTGCAACGCTATGAAGCACGGATACGGATAGGAGAAATGGATATGTACAGATACGTTGATATAACAAAACTTTAAAAAACATAAAGATACGGGTACAATCAAGATACGTTCGTAAAAAAAAAATAAAATAATTTTTAGGATTGTATTTTATCTAAGTTCAATGAAATGTGAGAAACCATTATGTAGGAATTAGGTATTAATTTAAGAGTCAGTAATCAATTTACTTTTTTCAGTGGGTCTTACAAAAATTTCATTTCAATATTTGCCCTTGTGGTTTTCACTTTCACAATTAAGTTATTGTATGCAAGTTTACTTGCTTGTTTAATTGTTGAAATCTGATTTTGGTATCAATAAATTTTCTTATATATCCTTATTTTCTATGAAGTATGGATATAGGACACATGTATGACATTAAAGATCCGTCAATTTGATAAATTTTGAAAAACTAAGGTACTATACTACTTTAATCTCACTATCTTATTTTCTGTAAAAAGTAAGTAAACTATTGAAAAGCTATTCTTTTATTTGTCTTAACAATTATTATCCGATGTCATGTAAAAATGATTACAATCTCAATTTCATAGTAGTTCAAATAGGTGACTTAAGTATCTTATTCTCAAAATTAAAGAAAATTAATATCAAGTATCGGATATGTATCTGTGAGTATCTAGACAATATCGGTGTCTGATACGGATACGACACCCTTTTTGAAGTATATGTGCTTCATGGTGTAGAGGCATGCTGCCTATATGTATATTTCTTGTACATTGCATCTGTTACCCATTAGCTTAAAGTCAGTTAACCCCTAATGCAGGGAGTGTTTGAGGATTGTACTGCACAAACTAAGAGTGAAACTGCCAGTGACCGTTCAGTGTTTTAACTCCAGAATTTCTAGATGGTAACGGTAGTTTGAAGATATTGGGTAAAAAATTAGAAGATATTGGGTATATCACTCTTCTCTCTCCAACTAACCCATCACTGTCTTCGTTTGTGCAGCTAACTATCTAATTGTTTATATTAAGTGTATCTCTCATGATGGCTAGTACAGAATTTGAATCCTTCTTTGCAAGTTCTTTATATTTGCTTGTTTTCTTTGTACAGTAACTTGCAAATTAATCTTTGTCCAAGAGGAAAAAAGGATTTATACCCAATTGATTTTGTTGTTTTTATAATGAATATTGGTGGAAATATAAGCACTACGTTATTTTAAAAAGATGATTGTGATTTTGTTTATATGTTCTACCTTGTCATAAAAAATTATAGTGATGATCTGGCTTTTGCAGGGAGACCTTGGAGGTCAGTTAAAAACAAAGTTCGAAAAGAATACCCCGCTTTACAGTTGGATGCATGGAAGGTATTGAAACATGGTCAAATTTTAATTTGTTATGTGGAATTGGTAGACGAAAGTGACAATCATCCTAAAGTCACATTGATATTGATTTGGAGTTTGGCTCATGATAAGATGGATTAATTATCTGTATCTACCTTTTGCAGGTCCGTGTCATGTTCTCTACCGTTTATGGCTCATGCTGGTACACACACCTTATTTCCTTCAATCTTTGATCTCATTGTTATCTTGTGCTATCATTTATGTTGAAATCCTTTCTCTATTCTGCAGAACTTGCTAGAGATTGAAATATTTAATTCAAGCAACATTATTTGAAACAAAATCTGAATACCTTATTTTCAATACTAGGTAAATAGTAATATTATCAATTACATTTATAGGACCAAAAATTCATCGGACTCGCAGACTTCACTTTAGGTTTCCAAATCCAATAGTGTGGGCTTCTGGCAAATCTAGGGTTGCGCCATCAATATGGGGCTCTACAAATTTAAGAACCAATCTTGAGAGGGGATTGCATTGAGTTTGCTGAGGTATTGATTCGTAAGTCGAATCTCTTAGGAAATTTCTCTCTATCTAGTATTATTGTGTAGATGAAAATCGCGAATTGTGTATTACTTATCTTGAAAAAAAGGGAAAATTTACAAGTTGGCTATGCTTACATGAATTGTCAGTACATAATACAAAAAGATAACACGGAATATCATTAAAAAAAATGCTACACATAAATCACATAGTGGTGTTATGTGTTTCAAATTAATTTTTCCGCGTCCATTGGATCTAATCATAGAATAAGAACTTTTTTAACTTGATTTTTTAGTTTTTTTGTTAATTTATGCTAAATTAGTTCTGTTTGGGAAGAATATTTTAGCTTTTTTTGACTTTTGTGTGAAAGAAAAAAAAAATTATGATTTGGATGATATATTTTATCTTTTTAATTTATTTAACTTATTTTATCTTCTTCTTTTTTTTCTTTTTTTCTTGGTACGTTTTTAGTCCTAATCCACCTCCAACCCGCTTGTCAAACGGCAGCTTTGTACATTTTAGAAAATTTTAGGAGATGCTAGATTCTCAAAAGCAAGTACCAAAATGCAACAAGGAATGGTACTTTAACGCTGTGTTTGGTTGAGAGATTTGAGAGGGATTTGGAATTGGAAAGGGAAAAAGAAAAGGTGTGTGAAATTATATTAAATAGAAATATATTTTTTTCACATTTCACGTACTTTTTTATTTTCTTTTTCAAATCTATCCTCAAATACCAAACACAGCATAAATCCTGGCTGCTTTTTAATGTGTTTGGTCGAGGGATTTGGGGAGGGATTTGGAAAGGGAAAGGGAAAAGGTGTGTGAAACTATGTGAAATGTAGGCATATTTTTTTCACATTTCACATACTTTTTTTATTTTCTTTTCCAAATCTATCCTCAAATACCAAACACAGCATAAATCCTGGCTGCTTTTTAATTTATTTATAGAATAATTATTCATGCATGTTCATGTTATTTCAGTCGTGTCAGTGATATATTTTGACAGACCTACTGCATATGTTAACTGCTTGTAATTGATTTTTTATTTTAAAGTTTTTATAACTAATTCATGCTTCTTTTTTTCTTTTTCTTTTTCTTTTTCTAAGGGCTATATATTTGAATTTCAAATCAAGGTCAAGTGCTGCCAAGAAAGACTAGAAAGCAAGAACTTTTCTTTTCTTTTTTTGTATCTTTTATTTTCCATTTTAGTTAAGCTTAAAATTCTTATTTGTTCAAAAGGGAAGTTGTCTCACCATAACATAGGGGTGATTTTAAAAGTTAGTTTTTTGATTTTTTTCAACTTTTGTCTTTTTGTGTATAAAAAATGTGAGAGATGATATAACTCAAAATTGATTAAAAATTAAAAGCTAGCTTTCCAAAAGGGCCCATAGATGCAAGTCGAAATTCGGAAGCAAAAATAACATAAAATGTGCGAGCCCAAACCTAACTCAACCCGAAAGGGTTTCATAATCTTCTTCTAGCTAAAGAAATGATTCATGGAAACAATAGTCACCGTCGACACATAATATAATCAAATCTAACATAAATATTCAAGCTTGCTGAAAAAGTAATAATTCAAATCTTATCCATGATCCAATCGTGTTATATAGCTCGTTAGCTAATAAATTAAATAAATTTGTATCATAATATTGATAGTGTAATGATTTGATTGTTTTTGTAAATTCAAAATTAAGAGCGTAAATCTTTTATCCAATCTCTTCGTATGTTACATGTCATTTATGATAATATAGTTAAATAATATAAATTTAGAAAAATTATTCATTCTCCCAATTTCTCCCCCACCCAACCCCCAAATCCTTCCAAAGTGCAAGTAAAATGTGAAAAGTTGACTTACGCTCTAATATTTTTTTTAAATTTTCCTTACATATATTTTGATTTGGCACCTCATATGGGAGATTTGGAAGAAAATAAATTATATGAACGTAGCACTGCTCATAAATTGGAGTGTATATGATAGAGGTATTTTTTCATAAATCTCTTTTCACCTACTTATGTTTTATTTAGTCCATATTATTTTCTTATATTCTAATAAGTCAAGTAGGTGACATAGTTACCAAAATACTTCTAATAATATTTACATTTACAGTGCAAATGTTTCGTAATGTGAATATTTATACCGTCAATGTGAATATTCATATTGTCAATGTGAATGTTCACACTATCAATGTAAACATTCACACGTCAATGTGAATATTTACATTTTAAAATATGAATGTTCACATTACCAAATTACTAACCGTTCAAAAAATATTTGTAAGGGTAGAAATGTCTATAAAATACCATAAATATGATCGTTATGATTTGATAAATTAAATGTTCAAATAATAGGACTTATTAGAATATAAGAATATTTTATGAACTAATTGGGATATAAACACTTGAAAAATGATTTTCTAATAAATTTCTATATAATATGTATAAGTATAAATAGTTACAATTATATATGAATTTTTTAAAAATATATTCAACTCAAGAGTAATGCTACGCATTATAAAAAAATATCATGAAAAATTTCATAAAACTAATTTAAGGGTGATTACATAACATGCAATAAACATTACAAACTAATCTCTTTTTGCTTTTCTTTTTTTGAAATAGCCAAAAAGATATTTTATTGATAATGATCAAGCAGAAATACATTGACAATCATCAATAAAAAGAGGGGTGCAAAGAGCATCATAACAAGACAACCCGCTTCCAACTAAGTTGGCACCAAGAAGCAAGTCCATTCATTTGCTAGCGCTACCCAAAGTTGGTATGACACCAACCTAAAAAAACAAAATACACCAACAGATGAACTCCTACAAGAAAACCTGTAGCATAAAGAGATCTATATCAGCAGCCCAGTACAAATTTACTCCCCAAATAGCATCTGATTTGCCTCAAATTGTTCAAAAAGTCTTGGACAGTGAAGTGAAAGTCCTTAAATCTATGGTTCAGCCACAGTGCAACTCTGCTCTTAATCAAATCACACAAGTTCTCCAACTGATGTGTAGCAGCCTTAAAAATGTACTCATTTCGAAGCTTCCATAAAGACCAAAGGACAGCCAAAAGAATGACCTTCCAAAGCCATTTTTCTTTTCTGTTAAGTTTATCACTTTTCCACCAATGAAGTATAGCTCCCACAGATCCTGGTAAAGCCCCTTGCACCTCCCATCAATTCAACATTGCAGCTCAAACCCTCCGTGCAAAATGACAGTGCAACATCACATGGCAGATGGATTCACTCGCAGCTTTACAGAAAACACAAGGGGTTGGAGAATTAGCTTGAATCACTCTAATTTTTTGAAGAAAGTCTACTGTTTTTACTCTATTTCTACATGCTAACCAATAGAAAAATTGAACATTTGGAGGTGCAAATTTGTTCCAAACTAAGTTACTAGAAATAAGGGAGAGACCAAGGAAGTCAACTTCACTTCTATAAACAGAGGAGACAGAAAACATACCGGAACCTATAGCCAACCAGACTGGTTTGTCCTCTAGATCATCACATAAATTTGTGACAGACATCAAAAGGAGCCTGAGTCTACTTACTTCCCTCTCTTTCCACTCGTACAAAATAAAATATATATTTAATGTTAAAAAATGATATTATTTTTTTATATATATACTACTAAAGATTTTTTAGTGAAAAGACAGTCAAGTATTATATGAATTAAAATATTAAGATAATCAAGTGTAATTTTGTCAAACTTATGTGATTTATTATATATATATATATATATTTAATTTTAGGGGAGTTTGTGTAATTCATCCTAAAAAATAAATTTGAAAATTTAAATTTAAAAAACAAAAGGAAATTTATCAGAAATTATCTTTCAAGTATTTGTATCTCAATTAGTTTATAAGATATTCTTATATTGCAATAAGTCTTATTATTTGGGATATTTGATTCACCAAATCCTAACTCTCATATTTAAGATATTTTATGAATAATTTTATCCTTACAAATATTTTTTAAATCCTTAATAACTCGGTGATATGAATACATTAAAAAAATTTGACAATATGAATATTCATGTTGGCAGTATGAATGTACATATCATGGAATATTTATACTATCAATGTGAATATTAATATACACTTCATTTTATTATTATTAGGAGTATGTTGATAATTATGTCAATTATTTTATTTATTAGAATATAAAAAAATAATTTAAATTAAGTTAAATATAAATTGGTAAATCTTTGGGGGATTGACCAATAAGTCTTATATTTTGGACTTGTAATCCATATAGTCTCATATATATATATATATATATATTGATCCATTTAGCCTTTTTGGATGTATAATGACTCATTTACCTACCAGATTAGAGTGTTATATTTAGAAAAAGTACACTAAAGAGTTTTTTAGTATCACATCATGTCCACCACGTTAAAGTGTCACATTTAAAAAAAATATATTAAAGAGTTTTTAATTTTTTTAGAGTGTCACATCATACCCACCACGTTGGAGTGTCACATGTCACATTTGAAAAAAGTTTACTAAGGAGTTTTTATTTTTATTTTTTGAAATGTCACATCATACCTGTCACGTTGTCACGTTTGGAAAAAGTATATTAAGGAATTTTTAATTTTTTTTAGAATATCACATCATACTCGCCACATTGTCACGTTTGAGAAAAATATACTACAGAGTTTATTTTTTTTTTTTAAGTGTCACATTATACCTATCACGTTATCACGTTTGAGAAAAGTATACTAAGGAGTTTTTATTTTTTTAAAAGTTTCACGTCATACATGTCACGTTATCACGTTTGAAAAAATATATACTAAGGCCTCGTTTGGGAACCTTCGTTTTTAGCAAAAAAGTCAAAAAGTTACTAAATTAGCTAAAAAGCCAACAACTCATACAAAAAAATCAAAGATTCTCTTTTCTCTCTACTTTTTGCACATCTTTTCGTAAAAAGCCAAAAAATTATCCCAAACATACTAGTTTTTTTAACTCAATGTCACATCATACCTGTCACGTTGTCACGTTTGGAAAAAGTATATTAAGGAATTTTTAATTTTTTTTAGAATATCACATCATACTCGCCACATTGTCACGTTTGAGAAAAATATACTACAGAGTTTATTTTTTTTTTTTAAGTGTCACATTATACCTATCACGTTATCATGTTTGAGAAAAGTATACTAAGGAGTTTTTATTTTTTTAAAAGTTTCACGTCATACATGTCACGTTATTACGTTTGAAAAAATATATACTAAGGCCTCGTTTGGGAACCTTCGTTTTTAGCAAAAGAGTCAAAAAATTACTAAATTAGCTAAAAAGCCAACAACTCATACAAAAAAATCAAAGATTCTCTTTTCTCTCTACTTTTTGCACATTTTTTCGTAAAAAATCAAAAAATTATCCCAAACATACTAGTTTTTTTAACTCATATTTTAGCTAAATAGCCAAAAAATTACTAAATTAGCATGTTCTCAAACGAGGCGTAAGGCTTCGTTTGGAAAGTCCAACTTGGGGCTTTTTTGGCTATTTTAGTCACAAAAAAATGGACTTTTTAGCCTAATAAAACAAAATATCACATCTAACACATAATCATTACATTCTTTCTCTCACAAAAAAAATCAAAAAAATCAAAAATTCTTCCTAAACTAAATTTTTTAACCCTAGGTTAAAATAGTCAAAAAAATCGAAAAGGCAACCCACTCTCCAAACGAAGCCTAAGGAATTTTTATTTTTTTGAAATGTCACATCATACCAGCTACTATCACATTTGAAAAAATATACTAATGAGGAATTATTTTTTTTAGAGTAAAAATTTTAAAATGTCATATTATACCTATCACGTTGTCATATTTTTAAAAAAACGTATACTAAATTTTTTTAAAATTTTTTAACATCATATGGTTAGAATGTAATATTAATACCTATCACATTTAAAAATTAAAAAAATAATAATAAATTGTACGGACCGCGTGGATCGTGAGCGCATAAAAGCCTTAACTACCACCCACGTGGGTCAAGTGTATGCGGGAAGCTCCGCAATGAATGCTTGATTTGATGTTTGTTTTTATTTATTTATTTTTATTTTTATTATCAAAGAAATATTTGAACCTTTGTGTCCCCCATAGAAATGATGACTATTTGACTTCCTTTTTGTCCTGTTGCAATTATCCTTCGAGTGAGAACATCACTTTCTAGTTTAAGAATTAAAAAAAAAAAATTTATTAAAAAATTAAAAATTTAACAAATTGTATAAAAATATTAAGGATTCTTTTTTTTTTAAAGTTTTTTATACAATTTTTTTATAAAAAATTAACAAATCATTCCAAAATATACTAATTTTTTATTTTTTATTTTAATCAAAAAATTAAAAAATTATTAAAATAATATATTCTCAAACGAGACTT